CCTCACAGATAGTCAACCTTCAAAGACTAAGCAAGACTCTTTTTAAATGTGCGTATGACTGGTGGTTTAGCTACCAAGACAGCAGGAGGATGGAGAAGGAGAAAAGAGAGGGGATCATAAAAGACCATGGGGGAAAAAGAAAGATGGACAGTGAGTGACAGAGAAAAACAATTGAACAATGAATGTAGAAAACAAGGGGAAACAAAGAATGGACTACATAAAAGTGAAGACTGAACTTATTGGAGGTATAGTTGTCTGCTCTTTGTCCTACTCTAAGCATGCTAATTAGTAGAATTTCACCCCACTGGAACTGATTTATTCTATTAATATATAACCCGCAGCTTTAAATGGAAGGAATTTCAAGTCTGGACCATGCTGTACATTAGGCAATATATTCATAGAAAAATATAAACATGCTATTATCATAATTAAATGACAAATGGAAGAACAAAATCATGGTTGCTGAGGTACAAAGTTGGATGCTGTTCAAGTACAGAGGAAAATGTTGTCATTTGGAGGTGGCTGTAATCTACTCTTTTCAGGATCGGTAAACATAACCTCAACCTGAAATATTCTGTCCCATCTGTATGAGACTCCTCATTATTTTGTAAAGTCCTGTGACAACTAATTTTAATTTATTCATCAGATATTTATTGAGCACTGTTATGTACCAGTCATTGGTCTAGGCATAATATTGCTCAAAGAGTCTTGAACAGAGCCCTTCCTAGTGGGAATCATGGCAGCAAAGAAGTGGATGAGTGCATAATTTCATGTGGAGATGGGGCTGTGAAGAAAAGTAAAGCAGGATAAGGAGCTAGCAAAAGATTGGGTTGGGAGTGTATTATTTCATGTAGGGTGTTCAGGGAAATTGAAGGAGTAACATTTGATCGGAGATCTGAATGAAGATCTTTTGAAGACCTAGGGGAAATTTTTTTGGCTGTTGACTCAATGGCTATGTTTTGTGAATATCCTTGATTCTTCCACTATTTATTAGGGAAGAGGAAGAAACAGAGATCCAGCGAGGCCCTGACTGGTCCAGAGTGATACATAGCCAGTTTCTAGCGGTAGAGCCATAGCGGTAGAGCCAAGAGTAGGACCAATGTCTTGTTGCCTAGGAAACCCAAGTTTTCTTGTGCCTTTTCCTTATCCTTATAATAAAAATCAAAAATAAAGCCATGGTTGTCCAATATCAAAGGAGCCAATTTAAAACTATTTCTCCCTTGATCCTAATGCATCATTTTACTTTTGCTCTACAGATACTTTTTAAAAATATACACCCTGCCATCGCCACCCCCTCCCAACATCTTCCACTTTGAAATAGTTAGTGAAACATACCCCAAAGGTCATTTCGTAAATGCCAAAGTGTTTAGCGACTGGCTTTGCTTTGATTCAACTGTCCCTACTAAGACCTCTTCTTTAATTTTACTGTCATGGGTCCTCAGTGTGTTGGGAAAAAACAAAGTGGAACTTCAAGATTGTTCTTTTCGTCCTTAGCCTTTCAAAATTGCCCTCCAGCTGAGGCTGCCTGTGTTGAGCCATACC